ACGTCGCCGAAGCTAGAGTGACATTGCAAACAAAGAGAAAGAAGCAATGATAAGGATGTGGGGAAAAATAGTCTACGTAGCCAGAAAGTTGCTTTCTAAGCAGCTTGAATATCAGAATGCGGTATCCATTCCATACTTTGCTTGCTGGCAATAGAAATTTCATTGAGTTGCTGTTTCGATTATGAAGCTGTGACTTCGATCGCAACTCGTAAACCTCAACGCCACAGTTCTGGCCCTTATTTTGTGATAGATCTGTGTTCAAGCTGAAGTAGCATCTTCCGCCTATCAGATACAGCTCTGCAATGGGCCTGGATGTAAGACGCATGAATTGTGAACCAGCGATGATCCTTGCAATCTGCTATTAGGTGTTTAAGTTTTCTACTGTAGTTAAACATCTTACATTCAGAATATCGTTTCTTTGTCTTTCTTAGCCTAAACATCTGACAACAAACAAGCTTAAGCACAAAATATCATGCACGTTCCTTTCCGACTCAGATGAACTGGTATGATCCCTCATTAAACTGTCTTCAGTAGGATGCGCCTGCGAGGGCAAGCAAACTCTGCATCCTTCAACTGAACAGTTTTCCTTCTTTTGCTTTCGTGCAGTCTACCACTGAATCAGACTTTCGGCTTCAAAGGATTCTTACTTATGTTAACGCTAATTCCGTTGTTTTTTTGCCCTCAGTTTCTCTGTTAACGAATGGCTAATGACCGGGGCCTTTATGCTTTATAGTGCCTCAATCTAGCTTGCGGTGTATACTTTGGTCACTGCTGAATTCCACGACGCAAATTAATGGTTTGACCAATTTACTGCATTGCTCCATTTCTGCTCTGCTATCGTCACCGCTTAAGGTTAAGTAAAGTTAAACGACACGTATGCCCCCCCCCACAGAGGTGATATTAGTTATATCGCAATACTTCTCATTTATGGAATATAGGCATGTAGACATCGAGTCAAAAGATTACGAATTCAAACCTTATCTGGATCACTCGCTTTACATCCTTCTGAGGTTGTTGTTGTTACAGCTGCCATCATCACTAGTTTAGCCGGTTCCAGTGACGGCTCGGATGAGTGCTTTTCTCCTCAGTCTAGGTGTGCAGTATCCGCCATCAAGTTCAGACAGTCCCCTTTGCACCGTCTGTTTCCATTCACTGTCGGCCCAGAGAACACTTAGGCGTTAGCATGGGCAGTTTCCCACCCAGTTCTTTAATTTTTCCACCTAACTTATCTTCCAGTGACATTCATGGATCGGGCTAGGGTACGTTGAGGTGATATCGTCGATGCACGTTTTGGCACGAGGCCAAGCCAATGCAGTCATCGTTCTTTCAGGACGATGTTTCAACCGGTGCGGATTGTGGCGATGGGTATATGACAGATAAATCGTGTCTGTCAGGTAATTCGTAGACAACAATGATAGAAGAGTTTAGCTTCCTCACGTCTTCCACTTGTAGAACTAAGCCCTCATGTCTATAACCGAGGACCCTTGTAAAGTGGCATACCAGGCAAGGAAAAAAGACAAGAAAGTGAGCGTTCTTCCTGCTACATGGTTATGTATATAGCCCTTAACGTAAGGAACAATTAACATTTAACAGAAACAAAAATCAACGCCTCACCAAATGTCTGGAGAAAATATAAATATCACATCAATGCATAAAGATCGACAGCCTTCCAATCAGTTCAGTTACACTCTTTCATTATTCAAGTCAAGTCAAGTTCACTAGCTTGTATAACAATTGTATTTATCAGCATAAGTGCTTTCATAACCAAATATTTCACCATAATATAATGCAATAAAAATTTATGCGCAAAAACTAGTAGCAGGTGAGAATAATGTGAACAAACAACTGCGGCTCTATCAAGAGCCCTTGCGAGGAACGATAGTAAAACAAATTTCGAACTGGTGTGAAACTGGTTTGACTACCGGTACTATGTAGCAGACATGCGTGCATACCCCTAGCCAACCAGTGCCCTCTGGCTCAAGCGACCCGCTGCGATTGATTCTTGCAAAGCAGCAAGCAATTTCTTCAACTGAGATTCGGCAAAACCTAGCAAGCAGCAAGGCTTCTTGCCACAGTAAATGGAAATCACTATTCATTAGACCAGGGAGTGTCACGTGACCGGAGTAAACGATAAATAGTACGATGGCAGCTTGAATAGTCGCAGCAAGTAGATACCCTGTGAACCTTTGCGAAAATCGAAGCCATGTAGTCTCAAGAGGTAGATTCATCGTCAAACATGAATTCTAAATATCTTGTGGAGTCATAAGCTGTCCTTGTTCAATGAAAGAGACTAAGTTCGCTCTGATTGGGCATTCTTCATCAGGCAAATTATGTAGATGTCTTACTTACAGCCGATTCTTAAGCCACATTCTAAGTCTGCCCCGTCATGTATGGAAGGAAACAAGGACTATAAACTATTCTCAGCATAGTTTATTCTGTGGTAGATTTGATTCATTACGTTAAGCGCGACATGTATACGAGCAGGGTGGAAGTTTCCTTCCCCTTCGTAAGTAAACGGAGGGGAGGTGAGAGTTATTTCAGTAGAAGCACCTACATAGATACACACTTCCCTCGCTAAAAGTCTCCAGGACACGGAGATAGCTGATTGCCTGAGGTTCATTACTGTCAAGGGCCAATGAATCTCAAGGATTGGGCAGTCTCTTCTTGGCCCTGTACCGTGCCTGTTGGCCATTCGACGCGATGGTTACTTTCTGGTCGTGGTCAGTGGCTGATGCTTTCTTGATCGTGATTCATAAGCGATCCAGCGACCCTGGAATGTTGACGTATTGCAACAGTGGTCGCATCAGCCAAACTTTCCTGCAAATCAGAGGGTCTTCAGGCACGGACATTGAAGGGGTTCGCCCCGTTGATTTAGTTTCTGAAATCGATTAATGAAATTTCTGGACCGTATTTGCTTCACTTTGCTGTGGACAAACTTTCACGTCGTGCTTCTCATCAATTACACAGACGTTACTTAGAGAACGATACCACGTGTCTGACAAAGCAGAAGAAAGAACAATGCCGAGTGACGCTGGAAACACTTAAAAACGACGTCGACTCGACACCTTCCATTTCGAAGCTATTGTCGATAATTACGCCCTCGACTTCGTCAGAAACGGACGAGACGACTGCGAAGGCCGTTGTATCAAGCGTATCTCACACGTTGGTACACGGCTTGAACCCGGAAGAAGAGGAGAAGCTTCTTCCCGACATAGACGCCATATCGCTGCAGCCGACTGCCAGTCACTCAACGCTATTCGACACTTCGCGCCATACCATTACGGACGTTTTCACGAGTGCCACGGTAAGCGCCGAGGAGACGAGGCTGACTACCCCGGTGATCATGGAAGTCACAACTGCGCCGCAGATCAGGGAAACCATTTTGTCGACAACGTATAAGAAGGTACCGAAGTTGATCGAGTGTCCGGGAGGGGACTGTTTCGACGGCCACGCATCGATTGAGGCTGTAGATGAGGAAGAACTGTTTATGCAGATGAGCAAGAAGCCGCCCACATCGGTTGACGAGTTCACCACCAAAATAAGCCCAAAGTATAGGAACCTCGTCGAGGAAGAGCCATTCGTCGAGGAAGCAAGCACCGGAACACCTTTCGAGCACGTGACCCTTCCTTTCTCAGAGGAACTTAGGGATCGGAGCAACGAGGTCGAAACAGTGACCACAAGCGGCGGGTTGGGCGAGAGGGGTGACAGTGGTGGCGGTGGTTGTAGAGATTCGAACGACACGTGCGCCTTTTGGGCTTCGATGGGCGAGTGCGAGAAAAATCCGTTCTGGATGAAGCCGAACTGTCAAAGGTCGTGCAACTCCTGCAACGTTCTGGTCGAAGACGTTGACAAAATTCCGTCGCGTGAAGGTAACCATTTCATAAGATTAATTAATTAGTTAATTAATCAATTATCCGATCAAATATAAATGCGTTTCAATAGGGTGCATAAACACGCATGTGCTATGCCAATTTTGGAAGACGCTTGGTGAGTGTGAGTCAAATCCGGATTGGATGAGGGAGTTTTGCGCTCTGTCGTGCGACGCGTGCAATGAGCGCGAATCGTCGTTACCTCACGAACACTTGAACACGAACTGATGGACGATGCTTCGCGCCACCTGTTCAAGAAACGATGAACCACAGTTGTTGAATAGTAAGTTCATGGATTGTAGAAACGATTGGCTTCACGAGTCCCACGTGAGCTTCTGCGGATTGTAGAACATATTAAAGGCATGATCGCTGGCTGTCTACTACAGAAGAGGCGCAATTGGTTAAAGTGTATTAAATTGGTTTTTGTTTCGTAATAAACTTTTCTTGTTAAAACAGATGAAAGCGTTGCGGAGGACCGTCAGCGAATTTTGTCTGAAAGT